TGAGGGTTGCGATCCCGATGCCAGTCCCGGTCCGGTCCAGGCACGACACTGAGGGTTGCGATCCGTTGCCGGTCACGAAAAAAGACAAAAAGGAAAAAAAAAAGAAAGAACAGGAGGCCGAGGACACTAGGACAGGAGAGCTGCATGTTCGTATGTGCTGTTTGTGAGTTTTCTGTATCTGCCTTCATCTGGTGTATTCTCTTCTCTCCCGGGTCCCCCCACCTCCACCTTTACTGGGATTTGTTGTAACCTGGATGAGATGTCTGCAGCAATGACCGAAAGCCAGCTACAGACCTAATGAGCAAAGCCCATTTAGGGGACCCCAAGTGCTTTTGTTTCTGCCTTAATGCAAGCTGGAAGGACACAGGGTCCTCTGCCTGGTGATGCTCCACAGCCGGGTTGTGACTCAGCAGCATTCCAAACACGAGTAAAGATTAAATACCTGCAGAGGCCTTTTATTGCTCTTCCCGTCCAATACAATGTTCCTATTGATGAGCTGAGATCATATAAGCGGGCCAGGCCTCTCTAATAAATAATGGCTTATCTAACAGGGCACCTCCCAATTTACACATGTATCAGAGTTTACCTTTTTTCCAGAAAGCAGTGTCATGTGTTCCTGCAGCAAATGACTTTTTCTAAGTCATAGGCGATGGCCATCCTGACTTCCTTTCCACATGCTTTCTCTGCTCTGCGCTTATCTGGCTTCATCTCCTGCCAAACCAGTGCCATTTCCTGGTTCTGGATCCTGGATGCCTCCAGGATGCTGAGCTCACCCTGCTGACAGATGAGGGGCCCTGAGGCCACCTGGGGGCTCAGCTGACCCTCACCAACAGCTATCCTCTCCTGCCTCCCATGATGCCCTCCCCACCACCCCTACAGAGGCCAGTAACAGGGGCCCAGCCTCCTGGGTCAACACAACCACCTCCTGCAGCAGCCCCCAAGGTGGTTTGGAGGGCCTTGTGGGGAGTGGGCTCTGCCAAGCCTAAGGGTGGCTCCCTGAGGGTCACTTTCTCCAATGCCAGTGGGAGAAGCCAGCCAGAGGGAGCCCTGGCTGACGATGCTCTTTCCCAGCAACAACACTAACCTGGCCAAACGAAGGTCATGTCCTAGGGCAAAGGGGAGGCTGGCTTTTAAGATGGATTAGTCAGGGTTCTCCAGAGAAACAGATCCAACAGGATGTGTATATATGTAGAGACAGAAATTCATTCCAAGGATTTGGCTCACATGATTACAGAGTCTTGGCGAATCCAAAATCTGATGGGGAAGGCCACGGGCTGGAGTTTGAGGGGAGAGTTGCAGTTCAAGTCAAAAGACCATCTGCTGGCAAGATTCCTTCTCGCTGGGGAGGGTCAGTCTTTTTCTATACATACCTTCAGCTGGCTATGCAAGACCCACCCACATTATGGAGGGCCTGCTTTACTCAAAGTCCACCAATTTAAATGTCAATCTCATCCAAAACACGATTTGACAGAAACATCAAGAATAATGTTTAACCAAATATCTGGGCACCAAGGCCCAGCCAAAATGACATAAAAATAACCATCGTATACCTGCCAGCTGCCAAGAACAAAAAAAAGGCTCATCTCCTAGGGCTGGCCGGTTAGCTCAGTTGGTTACAACGCAGCCTCATAACACCAAGGTCACGGGTTCACATCCCAGTACCAGCCAGCTGCCAAAAAAGTAACCAACACATAAGGGTTTTGATACACATTGCCAAATTGCTCTCCAAAAGCATGGTGCCCTTTTCTAGTTATCCCTGGGTTGGGACATTGTGGATTCCTAAGCCCTGCTGCCCAGAACTCTCTCTTCGCTTCTTGCCAGCTCACCTCAGCTGACCCCAACTCTACAGCTTGACCTCACAGCCCATTGGCTGTAAGGTGACCCATACGAAGCCAGCCATCACCGCCCCCCCGGATCTGCACAGCCAGCCCAATCCTGGAGGGCTCCTGGCTGCCTTGGAGGGCCACCTCCTGGGTTAGGAGGTGCTGGCCTCCCCGTTCTAGGACCGTGTGATGGGGACATGCCCAGGTAACCCAACACAGGCCCCTGCCATTTCTGCCGGTAATAGCTGCCATTGTTGATGTGAGTAGTTTTTACTAGTTCTCTGTTGTTCCTTCTTAAAATATGGTAGGGCTGCACTTAAAAATGGCTAAGATGATAAATATTATGTTATATGTATATTTTGGCACAATTTTTACAAAATTAACTGTTAAAACAATGACAAAAAATATAAAAATTAGAAAAGCAAAATATGAAAAAAATGTGAACGAAATAGTATTAAAACTGTCTCACCAGACCACACAAAGAGCTCCTTCGCATGTGTAAGAAACACATCAGTGAAATATTCATCACATTACTGTATTTTGCAACCTTGTTCATTGGTCAGATGGCCTCACTTTGAAGTTCTTGAGAGCAAGAATTTGGCCTCATTGATTTTTTTTTTTTTTTTTTCTTTTTCGCTGCTGGGCCAGTACGGGAATTTGAACCCTTGACCTTGGTGTTACAACACCGCAGGCCAGCCCTGCTCTTGTTGGTCTTTGATCCCCAGTGCCGAGCATAATTCTTAGCACATGTGTACTTTAACCATGAATGAAAACAGAATTTCAGGGAAACAGCTTAATAACTTAAGAGTATATCAATCAGATGAATTAGTATGAAAGTACCATAGATGATAATGACGGGCTACACAGACATGTGGAGAGATGGCGGAAGATCGCTCATAAAAATAGCGTGGCGAAGAACAGCACGTAATTACAACTGCAATTAAGTGACAACGTGCACCTCTGTAAAAGGGATACCATGGAAAATATTTAGGGGAATAATATTATAAGTGATATAAAAATGTTTCATTTAATGCTGCAGTTTTTAAAAAAAGATGTATTAGGGCGTATATCAATCAGATGAATTAGTATGAAAGTACCATAGATGATAATGACGGGCTACACAGACTTGTGGAGAGATGGCGGAAGATCGCTCATAAAAAGAGCGTGGCGAAGAACAGCACGTAATTACAACTGCAATTAAGTGACAACGTGCACCTCTGTGAAAGGGATACCATGGAAAATATTTAGGGGAATAATATTATGAGTGATATAAAAATGTTTCATTTAATGCTGCAGTTTTTAAAAAAAGATGTATTAGGGGTAAATCCCCTTATCCTTTTGAACTTGGTTTAAAGTCTCCTCGTCTAAATTAAGTGCAATGTTTATGCCAATCTTTTCCTAATTTGAATTTGGAGATTTTTAAGATTTTGTGTTACTTTTCAAATTGTTAAAGTGATATATTCTCCAATTTTTTTTAAAAAAAGGCATGTAGAAATATAGAAATGAATCAAACACAAAAATTCCACAGTTTCCTCCCATGTCCCACTCTCCAGAACCATAATCCCATTTATGGGGTGCTTATGACTGGGCACAGGACTTGACCTTGCTGAATTGTCACAGCTGTTCTGTACACATTTACAGGTGGAGAAACTGAGGTTCTCAAAGTGTCAGGGAACTTGCTCACAGGCAATCACCAGCTGCAAAGAGGCACAGGACAGAGGGTCTGGGCCCTTCCAGGGAGCATGCCGTCTGAGCGTCGCCCCCAGTCCTGGCTTCACAGCCCCAGCAGGCAGTGCTCCCCCAGCTAGCACCTGCACCACCCCCCCACTGTCACCTGGAGGCCCTGCAGGCTGTCAGTGTCCCCACGTCCTGGCCAGAGGCTCCTCACTCTGCAAGCTCAACAGCTATCTGTGTGTGCCCACTGTGTGCAGCCCACAGACTGAGGCACCCACCTAGGGAAGAGATGACAGACCTGCCGTCTGTGCAGCATCTGCTGTATGTTGGAGCTGAGCTGGTGCTTGCTTTAGCTTGTTTAATGGTGACAGCATCCCTGGGTAATAGTCTGGGGCTCTAAGTCTTTAGAGTCATAATCAGGAAAATGGACACTTAGATAGCAAGGGCCCTGGAAGTCATGGCGGGAGAATAGTCCAGTGTGTGCACAGCGAGACACAGAGAGAGGTGCATCCCCAACCCCATCCATGCACTAGGAAGTAGCAGAGCCAGGACCCCAGCCCAGGACTGCTCGTCTAACGGCACCCAGGTGCTGTTGCTGGGGGCTGGGAGGGAGAAGGGAGCTGGCTCCAGGACATAGCCACCGCATCCCTGCAAGCCTGCACCATAGGGCTGGGATCCACAGGCCATCTGGAAAATGGCTGGTCTCAAGATCCCACTAGGTTGGGTTTAAGTCTTGGCCTTGTAACCTGCCTGTTATGTGTATGACCTCAGGAAGGTTCGTGAGCTTTGGACCTTCAGTTTCTGCATCTGGTAACTGAGGTTAATAATGCCTTCCTGGCAGGACTGATTCAGAGTTTGATGTCACGTTCTCAGCAAGGCCTTCCCTGGCCACCCCATCTAAAATTAGTTTCCTATTGCCACTGTAACAAATTCCCGTATGTTTAGTGACCTGAACAACACCAATGTGCTGTCTTCCAGTTTAGTAGGTTAGGAGTCCACAGGAATCTCACTGGGCTAGAACCAAGGTGTTGCAGGGCTGCGCTCCTTTCTGGGGGCTCTGGGGGAGAATCTGCTTCCCTGCCTTTTCTTGCTCCTAGAGGCTGCCCTGTCCTCCTTGGCTCACGGCCTTCCTCCGTCTTCAAAGCCAGCAACGTTACCACTCCCTGTGCCTGCCTTCCGCAGTCCCATCTCCCTCTGACTCTCCTAGTCTGCCTCCTGCTTCCACTTTGAAGGACCCTTGGGATTACCTTGGACCCATCCAGATAATCTCCCTACTTTAAGGTCAGCTTTCATGAGCTTTGACCATCAGTTTCTACATCTGGTACATGAGGGTAATAAAGCCTTCCCGGCAGGAAGCCTCAATTCCACCTGCAATCTTAGTTCCTTGTCATGTGACATAACATTCACAGATTCTAAGGTTTCAGACTCAGACATCTCCAGGCACCATTCTGCCAACCCTCCCCACCCCCATCCTATCTAAAATGTCAATACTCTCCCAGGCTCTCTGCTTCCCTGATTTGTCCCCCCTTAGCATGTATTTCTGTGCAGGGGCAGGGATTCTTGCCTGTTGGCACCCTGACCACCCCACCCCGTGCCTAGGACAGTGCCTGCCTGGCATCTATTAGTGCTCAGAAAGGTGGTTTCCTTCCTCCTCTGACTCCTAACCATTTGGTAGCTGTAATTCTAGAATGCACATTCCGTTCTAGGGCATTTACCTCAGCCTTTACCTGCAAGTTCCAGATCCCCCGCACCCTGGAGACCCTGGACCTGAACCCATCCCAGGCAATGGCGTCAGCTCTGGCCCCTCAGTTCCCCTCATGTGTCCCCCAGCAGGCCAGCCGCCCCGGCTCTACAGCGTCCTCTATGAGGGGCCTGCAGAGTAAGTCAGCCTGGTCCTGGCTGGTGCAGGAGCCCAGCCTCCTGCCAACCTGGAGGGACGGGCGTTTTGTTTCCACCTTTGGACCTGTGCTCCTGGTGTGCATGCCCACCTGACGGATGGGAAAGGCCTGCATCCCTTCTCACAGGACCAGGGCCCTAGCCAGTGGCTTCCTTTGCCCTAGGGACCACTTCTGCATTAATCTTCCCTTGGCTCCAGTGAGTCATACACAAGCTGGCACAGTGAGACCCTCCAGGCAGTCACTCAAAGATGCACCTCTGTGGGACTTGCAAAATCAGCCCTGACCTGTCCCTGTGCACCATGGTTGACCCTAAAACTGAGACCTCCTTCTGGTGGGAGGCAGCCACCAGCCCCAACCCCAACAGCTGTGTCCCTGCTGGGCCCAGCCACTGGCCAGGCGACCTCTAAGTCAGACAGAAGCCTGGGCCTCTTCACAGCCAAGGTGGAGGGGCCCAAGGGTGTGTCCTTGGATGTGTGGTCGGGCCAGCCATCAGCTACTGAGGTATGATTATTGCGATTATTGTTACCTGGGGCTGCCCTGACCCGGTGCAGCCTGGAAACCGGGCAGGGTTAGAGGCCTGTCTGCCTCCCTCCAACGCTTCTGCTCACTGTAAGCACCATTTCTCCACCTTTCTCTCTCCCCTCCCAGCCTCGGCCAATCCCAGCCCCCCATCCCCACGCCCCAACTGAGCCGAACCTTTCTAAAGGGCTTTACTAAAAATAAGGGAAAACAAAAGGACAGAGCAAAAGAATGTCAAGCAGCACAAAAGCAGTCACAGGATGTACGCATGTCTGTGACTGCCCCAGCCCTCCCTGCCCCACAGCCTTCCTGACGGGGCCCTGGGCACCCTGTCAGCTGGCAGTTTCCTCGCACAAGCCCAGAGGAAGCGCCAGCAAATGGGGAAAACTTGGCCAGGGGGCAGGCGGGGAGGCAGCCCTCTCCAACCCTGCCGCCTTCCAGGGGAGCCCAGGTCATAATGATCACTGGAATGACACCCCAGTAGCTGGGGGCTGGCCTGGCCACACATCCACGTGTGACATGCCCCGAGCTGGTGTGGACAGATAGCCCAGCAAGCAGTGGATTGTATGTGTCCTTTGGCTTCAACAAATGTGACCTGTTGCCGGCAAAACTCGCCAAGTGACCCTCACCTAGCAGCCTGCTTCCTGTGAGGAAAGAACGTGGCGGGACAGTCGTGCTCTGGCCACAGAGCAGGTGACCCACGGGGGGGGGGGGGGGCTCTTCATT